ATCAGTTGGATGTATTATAGAGTTCCTTTGGTAGCTATGTATATAGAAGATTGGTGGAGGCTAACTATATCGTGTATTGCAATTAAATTAATACCCAAAGGGCAAGGTGCTGTCCATAATTACTTAATATATATACAATGAATGGTGTACAGCTAATAAATGAATTGCAGAAAACATCGACATTGAAGACTAGGGTTGCAGAAACAATACTTCTACAGTTTTGTGCAAAAACCACAAATTCCGAGGCTAATATTTTGCAACAAAAACTAATCAGTGGTTTAGGTTGTTTTTAGAATGATTATGACAGCTGGGTCCTGGTGGACACGGTAATGTGGCATAACATAAGAGATCACAAAATAGATAGAATAGCATAGACTAAAATGTGAAAAGGCCTAAGAGGATAAGGTCATCATTTGGAAAAAAGGTCATCCACGAAAGAGGGCCAGCAACAGCAACAACGACCTCTGCAGTCGGCGTGCTCGAGCTTGCCGGCGTGCGGGCCGGGGCAGCCGGAATTGGCGCCCGTGGTCGCCGCAGAATCACCCGCCTCCGTCGTCGGACTCCCTGGCTCCACCGCCGCACTCTAGCCGTGCTCATCGGGGCTGGAGGAGGAGCTCGTGCCACCGTGTTGCCCCCGTCGTTGCTGCCGGAGTCCTGCGCTCCCTCCAGTGCTGACCTTTGGGGAGTCTCGCCGCCGCGGTCGTGCATCTCGCGCCACCTCCCACGTCTCCTGGTCGTGGCGAGCATTGGCCTGGGAGGCAGGAGGACGTCGGCCAACCTCCCGTGTCTCCTCGCCAGCGCCAGCCTGGGGAGGGCGCAGCGGTGGCGCGCGTCCCTGACAACACCGAACCTCCCCTATGCCCTGCCGCCGAAGCTAGCAGCAGTTGTGCCAGTCGCGCACAAGGAGGGAGTGGCCGCCGGCTTCCACCGCCGGACTAGTGGGAGAAGGAGGACCCGAATGATTTATTTTTTTAAGGGGTCTATCTGCAAAACAAAATTATATTGGAATGTGATCGACTTTTTTATTTGCCACACCACCGTTCCTAGCGGGACCCGCCTGTCATAATCATGTTCAAAACGACAAAAACCATCGACTAGTGTTTTCACAAAAAAATTAGGCTTCGGATTAGTGTTCTTTGGCACAAAACCGTAGAAGTGCAGTTTCTGCAACCCTATCCTTCAATGTCGATGTTTTCTGCAATTCACTCTAGCTAGCGCAAGTCTATCTATCTATCTATCTATCTATGTGGTGAATAGTAAGATATCTCTAGCATTAGTGTTGGCTAGAAAGAAAGAAACACGAGTAACATCATTAGTAGTACGGACACGTGGGAGTAAACCCTAAACAGATGCAACGATGGATGGAGCATGCATTTAAAGACCAGTACAAATTACGTGCTACTCCCTATGTAAACTAATATAAGAGCGTTTAGATCACTACTTTCTTGTTTATTTCTTCACCCATCAATTGATATACTTACAAAGCAATCATGTACTCCCTCTGTAAACTAATATAAGAGTGTCTAGATCACTAAATGCTTTGTAAGTATATCCATTGATGGGTGAAGAAATAAACAAGATTGGTAACTCTGCTTTGCTACATGTACCTTCCTTCCTTGTGAATGAACTGCATGCATATTTCTCATAAGTTCACATATATACGAGGAATAGATGAAAGCCTAATTAATTAAACTGAATTTCAAGTATGTTGTATGATATCCATGGTCCTTTTTTCTTCTTTCTGTTTGGCATGATTAAACGTATGTATATATTATCGATCAACATTTATGCATATGAACACGCTGGCTAGCTTAACCATCTAGCCAAGAGGAGGAGATATGTATGTTCACAAATATAACATGCTCTAAAAAAAAAATCTGAATCGGATGTATATAGACATATCTTTTTTTTTGAAGCAGTATATAGACATATCTTAGTGTGTGTGTGTTCACTCTTTTCGCTCAGTATGGTTTATATTGAAATATCTACAACATCTCATATTTGTGAACAGAGGGGTAGTAATTAAGCACAAAAGAAATATTAATTCATAAAACCGCGGGCGTGTGGGATGGCAACTGCGTGCTGTGTCCATCCTTGTGTGTTACAAAGTGAATATTGATTGATGGTTGAAGAAATATTACAAACTAAATTCTACAATTAAGAATTACAATAAAAACCGCTTGGAGGCATATTCTCCGTGGTTTGCAATATGGAATACCACCAAGACTTCAGTCAAGTGGCTGCAATTAGACTGGATAAGCGGTACTTAACCTGGTTCACCCGTACGAGCTTCATTACCAATATACTCTGTGCGTCCGGAAATATTTGTCGTGGAAATGGATATAAATGGATGTATCTATTCCTCAGACAAGACGACAAGTATTTCCGGACAGAAGAAGTAGATATCTGAAAGTTTCCTGAGTCGCCCATCCAAAAAGATGAAAAACTTACAGCGAGGTCGTACTTGCCCTAACGGATTGGAACCAAATTAACTTTGATCATGGCAAGCCCAAGGGGGGGTTGGGTGTGTCGGTGGAGCAAATGTCTGCACATCCGGGTCCCGCACTCAAGGCTTAGTACTCCACTTGTTGTTTCGTCCTCGTGGGTGCAGCTCAGAATATGATTGCGTCAACAGTGATGAGTGGAGCGTCATGCATGCACGTCATTCTAGTACGTCATGTGTATAGCTTGCAGTGCTAGGCAGGCTCGTTCACATGTGCATGTATGTGCCTTCACATGTGTTTTTAACTAATTAATATTGATATACCATTTTTTTAGACAAGAGGAATATATTAATATCGCTGAGATACCAATTACACCCAGCATCTGCAACAACAAAATATCCAAAGACATTACCAATGCACGCAACTCAAAGATAAAAAGAATAAGAATAAAAACAAAATATCCCATTACACTGATCAATTTCTTATAGCTGTAGCACGAACCGCAATCATGACAACACCCGAAGTTTAATTCTTCAAAAGCGACGCCTCCAAGAAGGAACAATGCACATCGCCATCGTCGTCTGATCATAGATCTTTGGTTATCGTGTTGAACAAAATCCGTGCTCTCAACACAATGCCTTCAACAAGGCCACTGTCAGGCACAACCAATGGTTTACACCCTGAAAGGTAAGACTGTGTACTCATCTTTTGTTGTCGCCCCCGCTTGCCGATACCGCTGGTATGAGTCACGAATCACCAAGCAAAGTCCGCATCGCCTCGAAGACTTGATATGTCATTACTAGACCTCAGACCTCAGCCACCATGACGTTCTCTGCTACTATCTTCACAATAGAAATCAATGTACCGACATGTACCATAATGTCAACAGACAACGAAGCTTCGCGTTACGCCCTCTTGAAACCACACAGGTTGAAATAGGGGCATACACTACCGAATCCTATCTGACCCAGCAATCTACACGCGTCAAGCACCCAATGAAGATCTCCAGAAGCCTTCCGGAACTAGCCAATGGCCAGATCAATGAGGACCGACATCAAGCACAACACCATCTTACGCTAACAGAACCGTAGGAGTGTCGTCGCAGGGGAACGGATCTGAGCCAGGAACCCCATATTCGCCACCACCAGCCACCATGGTCGACCTTCACGCTGCCGTCACAGCCATGGTGGCATAGTCGCCGCCGGAACCTATGGGGAGCACTTCCAGATGTAACCAAACAGCACCGGAAGCCACGCTGCGCATGTCCGAGGTCGACCACTGGTGTCGTCCGTGGATGCTATCTGATGCAAGGGGAGATGCGACGAGACCCTACACCCTGTCCAGATCCAGGAAAATGGTCATCAATTATACATGGATGCGAGCCGAGCCGAGACGGGCTTGCCCCAGGCCTGCCTTAGCTCGCCTCTTCTCGAGCCGAGCCAAGCCGAGTCCAGTAGTCAGTCGAGCGAGAGATTGGGGCTCGGCCGAGCTCGCCTCTTGCTCGGTGCAGCTCGGAGGCTCGGCAAGCCTAACAACAACTAGTCATTGCCATGTGGGGCCACCATCTGGAGGACGCGGAACGGCAGTGGAGGATGGCACCTGGCATCGTGTGGGCGTTCGCCGCCGCAGGAGCGAGTGGATTCACTCCGCCTTTGCATGGGATCTTGAGGTGGTCATCTCCGTTTCCGACGACCGCAGGGCGTAAGTAGAACTTGTAGGAAGTTGTCAAATCCATTGGGTGAGGGAGTGCGGCGGTGATCAGGAAGAGAACGCCGACGAGCGTCGCCTCGGCCTGGTGGTTCGTCTGCGTGTGAGAAGCCGTGCTGGAGGCCAGGATGCAAAGCTCGCGCCGACATAGGGTCTTGGGGAGGAAGGAGGGGAGGGAAGGGAGGAGCAGAGGGGAGCGGTGGTTTGCTATCAACGACTCCCGGGCAGGCGCAAGGTTTCGGATTTCGTTTTGCAAAATTTACCGGGCCTGGGCGAAATTCGGTTTTTCAGATTTATTTTGGAAAAGAGCAGAGGGGAGCGGTGGTGTGCTATCAACGACTCCCGGGCAGGCGCAAGGTTTCGGATTTCGTTTTGCAAAATTTACCGGGCCTGGGCGAAATTTGGTTTTTCAGATTTATTTTGGAAAATATCGGACGAAAATGACG